TAGACAGCTGCTACGGGCTGCTTCCTGGGGGTGTGTAACAAAAGGAAGCCTGCCCGAGGACCGGGCTGCGGGGACGCTAAGCCCCGGAATCATCTCAAGAAGATAACCCATCCTTCTGTTACACTCCTGTTTAGTTAGTACTTATAGTAACGATGAAGACCATTGTTCATATATGACGTAATTGACAATCAAAAAGTCGAAATCGTTACTATTGAATTTGGACAAACCAGAAAAGGTTTTGTATATATGTTGCAAAGACAACCCAACCATCCTAGGCCTAATATAGTACATATGTGTGCTATAATAGGCTTAGGACTATATAAAGTCAATAGTACCAAATTCTACTAATTGCCCTTTGCCCTCAATGTATGTAATATGGGGCACATAGTTACAAAAAAAAGTACTATCTCGCTCTCAGGCTCCCCCAGCGCCCCCGCCCCCCCACCACACCCCCCAGCGCCTCCCCCCCACACAACCTAACGCCCCCCCACACCCCCCGAGCGCAGCACTCCCTCCCAAACACATGAGCACCACAACACCTGTCATGGGTTACTGACTCTGGGGTGCCACGTGCCAGTAGTCAAGGTGTGAGGCGGCCACCACCTAACTCAGTAGTCACCAAGTTCAGCCCAGCAGCACGTGAGTAAGACTTTGGCTGCATGACAGCGGCTTGTTGGTGCCAGTTGCCATACTGTCTGACCAGAAGTGTTGGTGCCAGTTGCCATACTGTCTGACCAGAAGTGTTGGTGCCAGTTGCCATACTGTCTGACCAGAAGTGTTGGTGCCAGTTGCCATACTGTCTGACCAGAAGTGTTGGTGCCAGTTGCCATACTGTTTGACCAGAAGTGTTGGTGCCAGTTGCCATACTGTGTGACCAGAAGTGTTGGTGCCAGTTGCCATACCGTGTGACCAGAAGTGTTGGTGCCAGTTGCCATACCGTGTGACCAGAACGGGTAATGGCATCACGGCTTGCCTCAGGATAGTCATACATTATTCACTCATTTAGAGTCTTAAGACTAGAAATTTGCATCAACAATGTTACTTCATTTAATTCTTTAAAACTAAATAGCTTCTTTTAATCATATAAGCTATGAATGATAGAGACAAATTTAGTTTCCTGCTTAATTTAATAATGTTAATTTAATAAACACAAAGTGACTTTGAGACATTTGAAATCTGAACTGAATTAACAAAAAATGACACATTATATGTACCTTATTGGAGAACTTGGCATGTCTCGGTAATCTCACCAGGAGGTATGTTATTATTAGTTTACATAAATGTGTAAATCTTATCCCAGTGTGTCCCACACACTTCACTCTTCCTCTTGGTGAAGTCTGTTTGTATCTGTATATCTGTTTGCTTCCTGTACTCGTGCCTCCTGTTTTCCCTATTGACTTATATCTCCCCCAGTTAACTAGTTCATAACACTAATATTTGTTTCTAATTGAAATGATAAAAATATCATCATTTTCAAGCACTACAAGTTCGTTGATATATTTCGTTACGATATTGGGGATAAATCTCTCTCTACTCTCTCCATACTCTCTCTCTCTCTCTCTCTCTCTCTCTCTCTCTCTCTCTCTCTCTCTCTCTCTCTCTCTCTCTCTCTCTCTCTCTCTCTCTCTCAAGTATCAAATGCCCTTGCTGGGACAATTCAGGTTTATCATTGATAGTTCATATTATGTTGCTTAAATCTGGATTAGAGGAAATATAATAATTTTTCAGTCTGCAGGCTGTTGCACCTCTGACTCCCAGGTACCACTTTGCTGCTTGGTCAACAGCAGCAACATGTCATAAAAAGTCTGCCCATCTGTGTCTGGGTTGGCCGGGGATCGAACCTGTGCCCGCAGGTAGTTAACCTAACTGTTGAAGATTTCCAGAGTTAATGTCCCCGCGTCCCGGTCTGTGACCAGACTTCCTGGTTGCTGGTCTGATCCACCAGGCTGCAGGTCTGATCCACCAGGCTGCTGGTCTGATCCACCAGGCTGCTGGTCTGATCCACCAGGCTGCTGGTCTGATCCACCAGGCTGCAGGTCTGATCCACCAGGCTGCTGGTCTGATCCACCAGGCTGCTGGTCTGATCCACCAGGCTGCTGGTCTGATCCACTAGTCTGCTACTCTGATCCACCAGTCTGCTACTCTGATCCACCAGTCTGCTACTCTGATCCACCAGTCTGCTACTCTGATCCACCAGGCTGCTACTCTGATCCACCAGGCTGCTGCTCTGATCCACCAGGCTGCTGGTCTGATCCACCAGTCTGCTACTCTGATCCACCAGTCTGCTACTCTGATCCACCAGTCTGCTACTCTGATCCACCAGGCTGCTGCTCTGATCCACCAGGCTGCTGCTCTGATCCACCAGTCTGCTACTCTGATCCACCAGTCTGCTACTCTGATCCACCAGGCTGCTACTCTGATCCACCAGGCTGCTGCTCTGATCCACCAGGCTGCTGGTCTGATCCACCAGTCTGCTACTCTGATCCACCAGTCTGCTACTCTGATCCACCAGGCTGCTACTCTGATCCACCAGGCTGCTGCTCTGATCCACCAGGCTGCTGGTCTGATCCACCAGGTTGTTGGTCTGATCCACCAGACTGTTTGATGGGGGCTGCTGGCAGTCTGACGTGAGAGTCACAGCCTGGTTGAACTACGTACCGGCTCCTGTATATGCTTGTTTGTAAATTCTTCCAAAATAGACACCAGACGTGACCGACCGCAAGAGAGAGAAACACTTCAGCAGGGGTATAAATAATACGAACCTTAGAAAAACTGCGTGTCGGCCCGCGTCGAGCCAAGAGGCGTCGGGGGGGCTGCAAGGTACACGCGGCTAATCGCCTTGTTCCCTGCCAGTTGTACGCAATTTGCTGCCGTAACGACGGAATGAATTCTAGACAACGCTCGCGTTTACGGCGTAAAGCGTATTTATACATAAATATTTCTTGGAGCAGTTAAAATGTTGAGAGGAAGAGCGGGCACTTGTGTGTGTGTGTGTGTTTACAGCTGAGGCTCTGGGACTGGCTTGGTTCCTCCCCAGTCTTGGTGGCTTGGGTGGCTTACTGCCACGTTGGTGGTCGTGTTGGTGGCCTGGGTGGCTTTGTGAGACGATGGTGGCCTGGGTGGCTTTGTGAGACGATGGTGGTCTGGGTGGCTTTGTGAGACGATGGTGGTCTGGGTGGCTTTGTGTGACGATGGTGGTCTGGGTGGCTTTGTGAGACGATGGTGGTCTGGGTGGCTTTGTGTGACGATGGTGGCCTGGGTGGCTTTGTGTGACGATGGTGGTCTGGGTGGCTTTGTGTGACGATGGTGGCCTGGGTGGCTTTGTGAGACAATGGTGGCCTTGGTGGCTTTGTGAGACAATGGTGGCCTGGGTGGCTTTGTGAGACGATGGTGGTCTGGGTGGCTTTGTGAGACGATGGTGGTCTGGGTGGCTTTGTGTGACGATGGTGGCCTGGGTGGCTTTGTGAGACAATGGTGGCCTTGGTGGCTTTGTGTGACGATGGTGGTCTGGGTGGCTTTGTGAGACAATGGTGGCCTGGGTGGCTTTGTGTGATGGTGGTGGCCTGCATGGCTTTGTGAGACAATGGTGGTCGTGTTGGTAGAGCTGGTTTGGTTCCAAGATGGGTTGGGGTTGGCCACCAGCATCACCAGTCATGTTCTCATGTGTTCCTTAACACTTTCACCACTCTCACCTTCATGGTACTTGCTCCCTCTCTGCTTCTGACATATTCTTCACGGGAAATATTCTCATATTCATATCTTTTTTATTTAATTTGGCTTCTCCAGCAGGTTCCATTTGCTCTATATCATTACTTGACCGGAAAAGTTATTTCAATAAGTCTTCCGGTTTTAATATAATTTTTTTATCTGTTGACACGAACCTTTTTAACTGTTCCTTTCACATAAAATTTACACACATCTTTCCTCCGTTTTTCCTGTCCCTCTTTCCACTGTTTTATCCACTGATGTGTCCAGTTCCTGGTCTAATCGAACACTTTTCACTGTGGTAGTCACCAGCGGTCCTCCACACACCGGCAGAACAATCCTGATGAAACATTCCTTGTCCATCTTCCCCTTCATCTCCGGATTCAGCTGGTTAAATTCCAGCGCTGCATGGTCGCTATTAATATCCGTTTCGTTCTTGACTGCAAATTGTCAGCTTATCTCTCAGCTTTTAAATCTTCCTGAGCCCCAAATCATTTGCCATTTCGTCTTAACAAAATCATGTCATGAGGTGAGAGAATGGTCTCTCAATTCCCACCCCTCACTTCCTGTTACAAAATCTTGCGCTGTTGTGTATGCAACGGGTGGAAATATAACCCTATATATTAGGGTTATATACCCTATCGGAAATATAACCCTATGCGCTCACAGAGCATAGCAGAGAGTTGTAATGTATGTTGCTGGGTTGTCATTTACCCACATGCAATGTGTACCTATTGCATCCCCCAAGGGGCCCATAACCACTTGATCAAGTGCTCGGAGAAGGCCCAAGCTCTGTGCCACTTGTATTTCAGAGTCAAGGCTGTCTTTGCCACCCTCGATGCTGCTGGTGCGATTACTTGACAAATGATTTATCGGGAAGATTTGTTTAAGGTTTACTGAGCTCCTCCTAACATTTCTTTAGGTCGCCAGCGAATATCTATGGTCCGAGGATTTAAATAACTATAAATCTGAAAATTATTTTCATAAGGCACGCCAGAAAAATCACTTAGGTAACTGCGAGAGAGAGAGAGAGAGAGAGAGAGAGAGAGAGAGAGAGAGAGAGAGAGAGAGAGAGAGAGAGAGAGAGAGAGAGAGAGAGAGCAGTGAGAGAGAGAGAGAGAGAGAGAGAGAGAGAGAGAGAGCAGTGAGAGAGAGACTTTGAAGCTGTTGAGTGAAGCAGATGTGAGGGACATGCATAGTGAAGCTGGGTGGGGGGGGGGCAGCTGTGAAGGACACACAGGTTGAAGCTGTGGGAGAAGCAGCAGGTGTGGGAGAAGCAGCAGGTGTGGGAGAAGCAGCAGGTGTGGGAGAAGCAGCAGCTGTGGGAGAAGCAGCAGCTGTGGGAGAAGCAGCAGCTGTGGGAGAAGCAGCAGCTGTGGGAGAAGCAGCAGGTGTGGGAGAAGCAGCAGGTGTGGGAGAAGCAGCAGCTGTGGGAGAAGCAGCAGGTGTGGGAGAAGCAGCAGGTGTGGGAGAAGCAGCAGCTGTGGGAGAAGCAGCAGGTGTGGGAGAAGCAGCAGCTGTGGGAGAAGCAGCAGGTGTGGGAGAAGCAGCAGCTGTGGGAGAAGCAGCAGGTGTGGGAGAAGCAGCAGCTGTGGGAGAAGCAGCAGCTGTGGGAGAAGCAGCAGGTGTGGGAGAAGCAGCAGCTGTGGGAGAAGCAGCAGGTGTGGGAGAAGCAGCAGGTGTGGGAGAAGCAGCAGGTGTGAGAGAAGCAGCAGCTGTGGGAGAAGCAGCAGGTGTGGGAGAAGCAGCAGCTGTGGGAGAAGCAGCAGGTGTGGGAGAAGCAGCAGCTGTGGGAGAAGCAGCAGCTGTGGGAGAAGCAGCAGGTGTGGGAGAAGCCGCAGGTGTGGGAGACATGCATAATTATGCATGTGGGAGAGAAATACATTTGTGAATATTTGACTCAGAATAATTGTCAAGAAAACGGAAGATATGTTACGTAGTATTTCACACTGTAATTTTCGTAAGGCAGGGAGGAAATAGAGAGAGAGGGGGGAGAGAAGGAGAGAGAGGGAGAGAAGGAGAGGGAGAGAAGCAGGGAGAGGGAGGAGAGAGAGGGAAGAGAGAGAGGGGGAAAGAGAGAGGGGGGGAGAGAGAGGGGGGAGAGAGAGAGAGGGAGAGAGGGGAGAGAGAGAGAAAGAGAGGGGGAGAGAGAGGAGGGGGGAGACAGAGAGAGGGGGGATAAAGAGGGGAGAGAGAGAGAGAGAGAGAGAGAGAGAGAGAGAGAGAGAGAGAGAGAGAGAGAGAGAGAGAGAGAGAGAGAGAGAGAGAGAGAGAGAGAGAGAGAGAGAGAGAGAGAGAGAATATATATTAACCAAAAACATTGATCAAATAATATTCTCCTGTCCCAGTAAGAACCCCCCCCCCCTCACCCCGCCCCCGTCGCCTCCTGGTCTCCACTTCTCTAAATCCCCGTCACTTTACAAGCAATATTTCACAAGAGATGCCGCGCCTCCAAGAAATATTTCTCAAAATGTAAAATATTCCTCAGTCACTGTGTGTATTTCTGCCTTTTTATAAAGAAATATCATTAGCATGCTAAACTTTCAAGCCACACTACTACCACTACCACCACCACTGCTACAACTACTACCACTACCACCACCACTGCTACAACTACTACCACTACCACCACCACTGCTACAACTACTACCACTACCACCACCACTGCTACAACTACTACTACTACTACCACAACTTCCCACAACTAGGAAACTTACCACAATGCCATTGTGCTTGAATGAAGGCGAAGAGACGACCCAGTACACGTGTAGTGCCCCAACATTGTCGCCAGCAGCCTACACTCTCTGTCACAGTTGTGTAAGCAATAGTCTGAACGACACTCTGTTGTTGTTGCTTTAGATTTAGCTACTTGGAACTACAGTTTCCAGGTAACCCGGACTATGGTGAGCCCGGGACGGACGAGATTCTGAAAGATTGAGTTTCTGTGTCTGGCAGAGTGCCTCACTTGTCGTCCAGGGAAAAAGGGACTCCTCCCCAGGAACCTCCCTAGGGACTCTCCCCAGGAACCTCCCTGGGGACTCTCCCCAGGGACCTCCCTAGGGACTCTCCCCAGGAACCTCCCTAGGGACTCTCCCCAGGAACCTCCCTAGGGACTCCTCCCCAAGGGACCTCCCTAAGGACTCCTCCCCCAGGAACCTCCCTAGGGACTCCTCTCAAGGGATGCCGAAACTTCATGTCAATGCTCAATTGTCGTGGTTTGTGGGAGTTGTGGGGAGGGGGACCTGACATCTCCACTCTCAACACCACTAAGGTCTCTGCTTATATAAGTTCGTGAGATTTGTTCGTTTTGTTTTATTGAGAATAATTTTACGGTCAAACGGATCTACTAAAAGGTTTTATTGCCTTTGACTCGTATAGAATTAATAATTACCCCCTTCGATTAGGCGTCTCACTGTTGGTTGAGCAGTTATATACAATTCTACTGTAATTAAAATCCATCCTATGATTGAAATCCCAACCATGATTAGTAATGGTGTTATATCTATACTGTTTTTGTGTGTTCATCAACTCTTTTGTTACTGTTCATCAACTCTTTTGTTACTGTTCATCAACTCTTTTGTTACTGTTCATCAACTCTTTTGTTACTGTTCATCAACTGTTTTGTTACTGTTCATCAACTGTTTTGTTACTGTTCATCAACTCTTTTGTTACTGTTCATCAACTCTTTTGTTGCTGTTCATCAACTCTTTTGTTACTGTTCATCAACTGTTTTGTTACTGTTCATCAACTGTTTTGTTACTGTTCATCAACTCTTTTGTTACTGTTCATCAACTGTTTTGTTACTGTTCATCAACTGTTTTGTTACTGTTCATCAACTCTTTTGTTACTGTTCATCAACTCTTTTGTTACTGTTCATCAACTCTTTTGTTACTGTTCATCAACTGTTTTGTTACTGTTCATCAACTGTTTTGTTACTGTTCATCAACTCTTTTGTTACTGTTCATCAACTCTTTTGTTGCTGTTCATCAACTCTTTTGTTACTGTCGGAAAATCCGACACCATTTAATAATATCATACAGGCAGATAATATTGCTGTGTTGTATAAACAAGTTAACCCATAGAAAATGTAACTTGTAGTGGAATTTCCGTCTATAGAAAACGGGATATCATTACCACATACTATTATAAATTCACCACCTATTATGGTGGGAATTATTCTTAAATACATTAGTCTTTGGACTTTACCATCATAAAAACATCTCATATAAATTAACTTAATTATCAGAATTAAAATAGAGTAAATGTGACCCTTCTATCACTTACTGTCATCTGGACAATGTAGGCCAGTAGCGTCAGTGAGGAGGGAGTGGTCAGCCATTGTTAATGTACTTAGACCACAGAGGCTCACGGGAGCAAATACGGCTCCTGTTAATTTTACTTGGACGAAGTGTTATGGAAACCAAAGGTGTACCATCATCAACACGCTGTCAACAAATACAAGTTAAGTGTTCTGCCGAAACCCATTTATCTATCATTTATGGCCATTAATGTCATTAGATAGGGGCGAGCCAGTTAGAATACGAACTGCCTCTTAATAAAAGGTAATTAAGCCTAGGTCTTTACGGTTCAATGTACAGTGTTTTCTCTGATATAGCTGTCATATATTAGGATTCTGGCTTTATAGCTAGCGCCCTTTTGACAGGTCAAGACGAGGAAGCATGCTTTGTGTACCAGTTACTGGGTGATGGAAGCTACCTCAAAGAGGATAATTCGGTGTCTACATCCTAGTTATATCTGGTGGACTAAGGCCTGCTGTACAATAAGATAAGGAACCTCTTCAATGTTTAACAATATATGTAGTTTAATACTGTAGTTTGATTGGCTGCATATATATAAATTCAATATAAACCCCCCCTAATGTGTAGAGGATCGATTTGTGAGATTATTGCAGAAATACAGTCCACTTAACATCATACAAATTGCTATCGAAGTATACAAATTAACGTAAATATAAATTCTATATAAATTCATATAAATTAAATAAATATAAATCTCACAGGTCGGTTCCCACAGGGTTTGGCAGTGCCCAGACGCATAGGTTCGAATCCTCATCACGGCTCCTACGGTTTTTTGTCGTTGATGCATCATGCTAATGTGAGTTCTTTGTGCATTATTGTTATCAACGTTGTCATTGTTATCTCAACCCTCCGTGTCCATTAATACCTTCTACTACTACTACTACTACTACTACTACTACTACTACTACTACTACTACTACTACTTTTACTACCATTTCTACTACTGACACGAACCCTGGCGGACCATATTGGGACGAACCGTGCGTAAATCCTGGGCAAATAATCATCATATTTCATCATTAGTGCCCCTTCATTATCATTAATTTAATTAATCCCAAATCCTTCTCCAGGGAAAATTATCATCCGGAAAATTACTTTCATATTTTACCCGGAAGGTTCGCCAAGACCTTCCGCTTCAGTAGGACCCCGAGAAGGAAATTCTCGGACAGTCTCGGCTGCCCCTCAAGTGTCGCCAAGGAGGAGAAATTATATAAGAAACGCGAAGGTGGAGAGATGTTGACTGATGTGTTAGTTGGGTCCTTCTGTCGGACAGAACCACTTCAAAGGGTGACTCTGTCGGACAGAACCACTTCAAGGGGTGACTCTGTTGGACAGAACCACTCTGAGGACTCGTGGTTCTGCAGGCGAGGAGTCACAATAACGTGGCTGAAGTATGTTGACCAATCCATACACTAGAAAATGTAGGGACGACGACGTTACGGTCCGTCCTGGACCATTCTCAAGTCAATTGTGGTTCTATGCCACTGTGCCCAGAGAGGAAGACATGGTGGGCCGCTAGGAGTCGACGGAGCTTCCCATCACGACACTTTACCTAAAAGGGGAAGAAACAGGCACCGCATTCATAACTTATACCAAAGTGTAAGCTGGATGTTATTTGTTAGGTTGGGTTGGTGTTTGATGCGTAGTGCTTCGGCTATGATTGATTATATATAGTGTCGTTATGTCTATTATTTCGGTGTTGTTATTTTTGTTATTATCTAAACAACGAAAATTATATTTTTAGTTATACATTCAAAGCCATAACAATAGATAAATAATATATATGATTGCTTCTGTATTATATTATCAAAGAGTAAGCTGTAGTCAATATTTACAGTTTTAGATTTCTTATAAACTTTACCAATTAGTAAATAATCTGATTTGAGCTGTCGTGGACATAAACATTTAGATTGTATTGTTCACTACTTTTAGTGCAACAAAATTCAAGTATGTTTCTTTCATTAACATATTTAAATACTCAATTTCTGAGATTTAATCCAATCCAATTAACAGCGTGAATTTCTATATTATAACAATAGTTTTTTTCTGGCTGGTCTTTGTGCTTAATAAGACACAAATGTGCAGAATTATTTAAACTACAATTGTGAACTTAGCAGCATAAGCTAGATTATTGCACCTCATCAACACATTTGTATACCAAGTGGTACCAGGGACCAGCATTTTGACTGGACTACACTACACACAGAAATCACAGTTGCGTGATGCACCAAATGAACAAATCCACAAGGGCCGTGACGAGGATTCGAACCTGCGTCCGAGAGCATCAGACGCAGGCAGCAAGGCAGCGACTGGGATGCCCACGGACGCAGGTTCGAATCCTCGTCACGCCCCTTGTGGATTTGATCATTTTGACTGGACTCTCA